TCACACCTGAATGTTCCACCATGCCAAACCTATGGAAATGACTGAAACTACACACGAATCTAACCCCGAAAATGACCGTCAATATGTGCTTCATAATGGATGCATTTGCCCTATCAATTGTTTGCTGGGTGGACGATAGTTGCAAAATTCACATGGTTCTTTTCCTTGAAAAAGTATAATATTATCAATGGGTGAAACCGAAGACTATGCATACCAACTACGTTATGAAAGCGTCTTCAGTTTCAACTCATTGAATATTATTTACATCCATTCCTTTTTGTACGAAAAAAACACCGAAATATGTTTTTTGGGATACATTACAAAAGTAATAGGTGGAAAATAAAAATAATTAAAATCATTATTTTAAATGTTTTCTTACAATGAAGAAACTCTGAACAAGTTCGCCAATTGTCGCTCACAATTTTCGCCATTACATTCGGAATCACATTCGTGGCTGTTCAAGCTCGCAAATTTACTGCGTTGTTCATACTTCATAGTTGGGGTTTTCCTCGACCTTTTGTGTGTGCAAATAATATGTGCCACTTTTATTCACTGGCGGATACATCATGTCTAAAACGAATTTATCACTATTGTTAATTGAGCACGCCCATGGGGTGTCATTTCTATTGGTGGACAGCCTATGACCTTTCATGATAATCCATTCTCTAATTTTTAATGCAACCCTATGATTACATCCTATTTCATCGGAGCTGCATTCCGGTTGTTGTAAGCCATTATTAACTATCACATCAATATCGCCCAGGTGTTGCCCGAGGAACCCGAGCTTCGATGTAATGAAAACTATTACGAATTTTGCGTCTCCCTTTTGTACACGCCTTGGTTTACCAGCGCTTGATGGATATGAGAATCCAACTTTAGGTGGGTCGAACGCTAAAATAATTTTTGACAAAAACAATATTGAAATAAATAATTAATATACGAATATTTTTTTATTAATAAAATTTACCCCAAATTGCTTCAACCATTTCGCCATTATAAACTTCTTTCAATCTATGTCCAATCATTCCACTAATATGGCCACCTGAGAATTAATTAACAGCCATGTAAAACCAACAATAACTTGAAACCAGGCGTTACCTCACCCAAACTGTATCCCGATAAATAAACCGTAGATAACTTGATGTTAAAATCATCTGAATCCACAATATTTTTGATAAAATTCGTTCCGATGAGAACTATTCTTGGGACTACAGATACAAGTCCTGGAAAATACTGCAACAACTTTAAAAAGTCTGCTCCCCAATGGAACGCATGACTTACGGTACAACTAAAAAAACAATCATAATAAAATCATGTTTAACATAAATGTGTGTGTTTTTTTATGTTTGCAAAATCTTAAATGCAAAATAGTTTGGAGTTCAACGGTAACGCTTCGAACGAAATATAGATTTGATAGTTGTGAACGTTTAAAATTAAAGTTACCACATTACCTACAAGAATTTGTTGACAACATTTCCTCTAAAAAAAGGTGTGAAATGATAATGTCAGCAATAGAATAATGCATACTTTTAGTTAAATGTTTACCTTTAGCTAATTTAAAACTTTCGCCGGCTAAATTGAAAAAATTAATTAAATTTAAGAAATGACTATAAAATGTATGAAATACGAATCAACATATTAAAGATGCACTTACAAGGATTTCGAAAAAAGTCCCCGAAGCCCATGAAAAAAAAGATTATTCTTTCTTTGTTTCCGATAATTTCTTTGACTTTAGCAAGCTGACTTGCATTGAATTTGTATTCATGTATTGCCATTAATGGATCGTAATCGAAAGACATCGAAGTGAATTCCGTTACACTGAAAATATATATTAAAAATTTGTTAAATTCAATTCGTAATACTTATAACTTCTCTTACGAATTATTGGATACACATGATATTGTAAATTTCTTGTGGTTTTCTGCCCCAATTACTTCTGAAATGAAAACGAGGTAAAGTTTGATTTTTTTTTTTCAAAGATGTACTTAATTTCTCACTCACCTTTTAATTGTATGATAAGAACAAACAAAGAAAAAAGCACTTCACACCACAACATGATTGTTGTTTATTGATATTTTTTAATGTTATCGATTCTCGTAATGATATTTAGTAAACTGAATGAAACTGTATAACCATTCCTTTTTTATATGCACGGCTTACGTGACGATAAAAAAGCATTATTGATAATTAAACATTTTTCGTCGATTAGGTAGTTGCTTATCAGAAGTCCAAACGGCATCACTCCACAAAGTAAATACGTTTTTTTAGCATTTATAGTATTATAGAATTTATTATATTTTATTTGACAGAATTGGTTTTGATCTGTTGAAATACAGTATGTCTCATTATATAGAGCCACCGATTTTTTAGACAAAAAT